CACACACACACATGCACTGTGTTACAGTAAGAGGCTGTAAACCCAAACTGACTTTTAACTTGAAATTTTAATAGAATCCCAAAATGTTTCATCATAATTTAACATTTTTGAGTTTTATGGTGAGCCTTTTCCTGTTTATCTCTACACTGACAGTTTTGTGTGTGTGTGTGTTTTCAGTTCCCAGCCTGGGCTCATACGACCACATCCTGTCAATTGTTTACAAATCAGGTGAACACAGCAGTGGCGTTTAATATTACAACACACTTGATCATTACAGTGCAGTCTTTGATGGAGGTTGAGTTGTGTTTAATATTTTAATGTTTTCTTTCCAGTCTTCTCTGACCAAAGGAACACTGACATCTTACAGGAAATCATGTCAGAGCTGGAAGGTCGCAGCTTCACCTGTCAGGACCCTTGTGATGGTAGGTTTTAGTGTCTCTGTATGTTTAAGAACACCTCAGTTTTTCCAGTTTTTTTATTGAAATTTACATATTTTATCTGAAACCTTGATGTTTAAAATGGATCTAAAAAATGTATGAAAAAAACATGGACAGTTATACTCACCATCACACAGCAGAGAAATGCATCTCTGTATGTGTCTCTATTACTGACTTATTATTCTCTCTCTTCTTCTTCCCAGTTCTGTTCTTTGCTACTGCAATGAAAATAGTAAGTCTTTTTTTATTACTTGTTTTGTGTAAATGTTTGTCTCCGATGTGTTTCTGCAAAGTGCAAGTCCTTTTTTTAGAATCTCAAATGAAGAGTTTATTATCAAGTACTTGTGTTTCTTCGCCTATTTTTAGATTTATACAGCAATTACTGTCAAAACATATTATATTTTAACTATGTTTAGCTGTATTAAATTAGATATAGGCTGGTTTTGATGGTTTTGTTTATTTCACTTGTTACATGAGCCTAAAATTTAGTTTTCAGCAGAAATTAAGTGGTATTTTAAAAGTCTTTAAATTTGTCTTAAAACATGCAGATATGCTCATCCTCTCCCTCTATCCACTGTTACTGTTGAGCTGGTGTAAATCTATTCATTCCCCTCACCTCTTTTCCCCCACAGTGTATCGGCAATAAAGATCTGGAGCTGGGTTATAAAGTACAGAGTCTACTAGAAGTGGGGGAGAACTGGAGGCTGCTGGGAGATCCCTACCAACAGAGTATTTACTAGTGAGTAAAAAAA